ATACAAATGATAAATAGCAGATTTTTAGCGATGGGCCCCAAGGTTGCAAAGACTCATTTCAGCTAAAACAATGTTTTTCTAAATTATGAAATAATTAGATGCCATGATCAAATTTTGAATTGGTAGGATACAAGAAGAGGTTGCAATGAATGTGTATGACATACTAAACCTGTTTATTTCACTTCATGAGAGTCACAATCAGCGATTTTTCACAAACTCAGTCACTCACTCACTCACTCACTCAGCGATCAGCAAATCGCTGATTGTGACTCATAGAAAGCAAAATTTACAGGTTTTATGTTTCCAACGCATACTTTGTAACCCCTTCTTGTAAGTTACAAGTAAAACATGCCATCATACCATCTTTTGGTTTTATTATTCCGAAAAACATTATTTTAGCTGAAATGAGTCTTTGCAACCTTGATGGGCCCAATCTTAGATCCATAGGCCAACATTAGAGCCATTTCCCCTATTTTATTGAATTTTGATCAGTTTTAAAGAATCATCTTTAGGCTAGGGTAAGTGTGACAGTTAGTAACTAGCTCAAATTTGATATATGTGTTCATGGTTTTAATTGTGTAGATAAAGGCTGACTAAAAGTAAATTGGTACGCACCTCGCGGGCCGCTAGCACGCCTCTAGTGTTGGAAATCGAAAATCTTTGACAGTGGTTAGTTTACACTTCTATAGAGAACAACTGGTGAAAGCTTGATCAAAGTAGTCGATCGCGTTCAGAAATAACGTCAAATGGAACTCGAAAGAAGAAAAAATATTGTGCACAAACACCTGGAAAATCCGGAGTGGTTCGGTTCCAAGCTGGCTAAAGTGCTGATGATGCCGAAAACAACAGTTTGTCGAGTGCTCAAAACCTACAAGGAAACCCTGAGTGTGGAAAGGAATCTGCGGACCTACGAAAAAAAAATGGAATCAGGGATCGTCAGCTGCGCAGCAAGGTGTTGAGGTGCGTTAAAACCAACCCCGGTCTTTCGATCCGAGATGTGGCCAGAAGGTACAATGCCAACTTTCAAAAGGTGCGGAACATCCTTGACAGGGAAGGATACAAGTCGTACAAAGCCATTAAACATCCGAACCGACACATGAAGCAGAATTACGTAGCCAAAAAGCGTGCAAGGTTCTCGTGTGTATTTTGACGAAACACAAGGGCTGCACTTTGATCGATGAAGATACATACGTCAAACTCGATTTTAAGCAGCTTCCCGGTCAAAAGTTTTACATCGAGACTGGACGTGGGGATGTGCCGGGAAGATTCAAGTTCGTGTTTTCCGACAAGTTCGCGAATAAGGCCATGATTTGGCAAGTGATTTGCAGTTGTGGCTAGAAAACGGAACCATTCGTCACATCCTTGACGATGACATCTCAAGGTTACATCTAAGAATGCTTCAAAAAGCGTGTATTGCCGTTCATCCGCAAACATAGGGGCAAAGTCATATTTTGGCCCGATTTGGCCAGCTGCCACTACTCCAAGGTAGTTCGATCGATCGATTTTGTCCGCAAGCTAATGAATCCTCCGAATTTACCGGAATTTCAACAAATCAAAAAATACTGGGTAATTTCAAAACAGCGACTTCGACGAAGCGGCGGGGCAGTCAAAGACATCCAGCAAATGCGGGCAAAATTGAAGAAATGTGCTGACTCCATGTCCATTTCCACTGTGCGGGTGCTGATGGGCTCCATCAAGAGGAATGTTCGAGATTTCGTTCGAACTGGAGAAACTTAACCATCTAATACTGTAACTTTGAAGTTTTAATATAAGTACTGCAAAACAACCATTAATGGACTTTTTTTTTAAATAATTGAATCACGAATTACAGGTCTTTTTGTGCGTACCAATTTACTTTTAGTCAGCCTTTATATGGTAATATCTATGTTCTATCTTAGCATTGAATTACATTAGATGAAGAATGAATAAAATTGAAATTTAAGTTAAGGTCAATTAGGAAACCACTATGGCCAAAAACTGGCCCACTTATCCTACTAATAATGATCTTTTTAAGCTAATTTGGATCATTGTTCTTCAAGAAATATCAGATTTAAAATTGTTAGTCAACTTAGCATTGATTTACTAAAACTGCTCTAACTTCTTACAGACTTGGCCAATCAAGTCACAAATTTCACTGATATATCCTGATTACTAATTGATCAAGCAGCCATAATTTTAAAAATGCACAAACTCCAAAGTAACATTTTTGTTTTACTTTCACGGTGAATTATTTTTTATGATCAGTATCCATTACTGTATTTGGAGTGTGAATTCGCTTCTAATTTTTACAGGTTATATTTATAACGGGCCTCTTGATACCATAGTCAGTCATCCCGAAACGAACCATTTGGCTGGATTTCTAGCCTAGTCAATTATTTTGACGTAGAGCTACGTCTGTGATTTCTATATGGGGGTACACTTTGTGAAAACCGAAAATGGAACATGTTACAAAATTATGAAAGATTTTGAACGTTAATAACTCAGCTGCCCCTGGACCAATTTCAATAATTTTATCACCAATCGATCAGAAATATTTCTACGCATCGTACTCATAGACTAGACTTTATAATTTTCAACGTGCAACTGTTGCTATGATATTTAAAATTATCAACGAATGCCTGCGAAAAGCGATTTTCCTAGCACAGATTACAAAATTGAATTCCATCCGGTCTCACCAAACGGTGTTTATTCAATCACCGTGAGTGGTGATGTTTTCCAGTACACAACGAAAGGCTCCCCGCAAGCAACTAGCTATCAAGGCTGCTCTCAACCGCTGATCGGATTCAATTCCAATCACCGTGTGTGGTGGTGTCCGGTGACCGAGATGCCAGATCTACGGAAATCTCCGTAGATCTACGGATTTTACAAATTTTTTGCGGAAATACGGATCCGTAGGCAAAATCTACGGGATTCGGTACAGTTTCTATGGAGTTTTTTCTTCAGTGTACGTCTCCCTTCAGAATCGAATTTTACAATGTAGAGTATAATCTGATTCTAAAGGGAAAGAAGCATAAAGTAAAATATACCCCTGCAACTTGTCAACCGTTTTCTTGCTCACATATCCGCTTTTTGATAGAATAATTTAGCATTTACGGCGACTCTGTAGCTCTTCCCTCCTATGAAATATCCCGTAAGCAAACGTCAGACTGTGCGTGAAACATGGCATCTCTTCACTCCGCCGAAAGTTCCCATAATATACATACTGTCAATCTTTGATTGATGAGAAAAATTTTCGACGGTGCCGTGTGAAGGCGAATAAAAGTCGTGTAGATACCAGTATTGTAAGCGTAGTCGACACATTTTCTGTGATAATCGACTGCCTTTGCTTCCGACACTTGCAAAACAAGCTTTCAAATTACAGTACAAAACTAAAATGTCACACGACAGGCTCTGTCATACGACATTGTCGCCGAAGGCCGTCACGAATGTATGTATTTTAGTTTTTCTCATAATAAGAGCTGCTAATGTTGTGCTTGAATGCATTCTGAAAATAGCAAGCAACGATGTCCTAGTTATTATGGTCGGATCAGAAATGGTTTAATTTACACCAAATTGAGGAATTAGAACAAAATCACATGTGTCATATGATAGTTATTTGATAATTTTCTTTTTGCTCAACCGTGGTTCAACCGTTTGCGTTATGTAAGAGAGACGACGCTCTCTTCCCCGTCAGCTCGATGATGATCAGGCCTTCAACGTGTTCATCAAACAGCACGTAATCCATAAGTCGTCGTACTTGTCCGGCTTTATAAAGGAAACTACGGTTAAAGCGTGACTTTCTTATTAGATTACGACACCACTGTACCATAGCTACGGGTTCACAATTGATCAGATCGCCAAAGATGGTCTTGAAACCCCTGCAGTGGATCCTCAAATTGAGCTGGAAACAATTGCCGTGGATAATGAGACAGAATTGCTGCTTGGGCAACAGGAAACGCTCCTTTGGAATGAGGACAAATGCCTGGAGATCGCTCCCGCGCAAAACAGGGTTCCTCTGTCATTAATATATGACGATCACGAACTACGATGTTTCTCACTCTCAGTGCAAATGAGATGAAGAGGCCCCATTTGTTGAATCTCCTACATCGATTGTCAGAAGGATACAATGGCAATGACTTAACAGCTCCAATCCAAGAATTGACTGCACTACAAAGAGCAACTCTGGTCAATGATGATCCAGTCACGTGCTGTGTGTACTTCATCAAGCTGGTTGACACGATTGAATTTCAGCACCGTGGAAGTCCTCACGCGCGCTTCTTGCTATGGATTAACAAGGATCCCCGGGAAGCAATCAGTGAAAGTATGCCAAAAACTACAGGTGCAATAGTATCATGGTATTCATGTTCGTACTACCATCGGCCCTTTTCAGGGCCACCAAGATTTTCCAAAAAAGTTAAATTTCTGAACATGTCCCGACTAAAATTTGTATCAAAAGCTTCTTTTCAGGGCAATCATAGTCATACTAAAGAGTATAAACAGAGGGAACCCCGCCCAAATTCCTATTTCTACACAAAACACAAGTCCTTCTGGAGTTAACAAATAAGATTTATTATATAAGACCACGTAGTCCGACGTCACCATAGCGTACAACCCCAGAGGGCTGTCCCTAGTAGTTTTTTAAGATTGAATAATGTCTCGTTTTCCTTGGGAAACGATTATTGTTGTGCCTGTTATACCATGTCTACCGCCATATACTGAAGCAAAAGTGGAACAGGCTTACAATACTTACAATTCGAAACTGTGAAAGAGCTATATTGCCGATATTCGCATAACAGCCCCATGGGCTATGAATTTCCTTTTTATATGGGATTGTTATGCGTATAGTGGCAGTTTATGGATACTGAATTGAGAGCAGGCCGCAAGCTCACTTGGGTAGATGAGACCTAGAATATGGAGGTTTCTAACATATCCTTATCATTTGTCAAACGAGAATACCATATTCTACGGGATTGTCTATAAGATAATTGCTCATTATGAAAAAAATAGTTGTCAATGTATCCCATTGTTGTATTGCGTAATAAATAAATTGTTACAAAAATCAATCTAGTAGCACTCAATAGTCAACGTACTCGTAGTCCGCCAGGGTCAAAGCTCGAATGTCTTCCTTGAGTACCTGAACCTGCCGCCAGATGGCACGCTGCGTCAGGGCTGCACAGCGTCGGTACTCTTTGAGCAGATGAGTTTCCCATAGAAACTCTGCACAGAGATCCAGTTCGCGTTGACTGCGGATATACAGTTGAACAACGGCATCCTGAAACTCAACAGCGGTATCCACCTTGAAGGATCGAGCAAACAACCGCTCCAGTGAACTGTTCTGGAAATTGACGACTCTTTGCTCTTGCGCTTGGCTTGCAAGAACAGGGGGTGGCTTTTGGATAGTGGGGAGTAGAGGTGCAGCACCATGCGGTGGTTTTGGTCGTCGCACAGCCGGGTTGCTTTCCGAGTTGTCAAACCACAGATCGAATTGGGCCTGCAAGATAAATGCGTTGTAAATAGTTCACAATCAGCTTTCCGAAATCTTTCGTTACTTACCGAACCAACGGCGACCATTGTACAGAAGATGCACGCTTTCAAGAAGAAGTTCATGTCTGTGTTATCAATTGGCACTAAGTGATGATAACCGCAACCGGTTTCGTGGATTTATAACTTTTTCTCTTGTTTTCTACTGTCATTAGAGCAGGGGTTTTTATCGATCGTTATCTTTCTACCGCACGGTGCGGGTAAATCCCATGTTTGCGTTTGCATAAGCAAAGATGAAGTTAATATTTTCCTCAGAAAGATGAAAATATCGCTGCTACCGTGGCAACAAGTTGTTTACATTAAGCCCCCAAAGTTAGTCATCATCCAGAAGGGAAAGATTGATTTCCTCTCGAAGGAACATTTGCCCTCGATACGTATCATCACCAGTTTACCAGCTGGTCGACGTCGTTTTCGGTTTGTGTGGTTTGTTGTGTTGAAAATCTGATAAACGGATGATTAATGATGTGAAGCTAATTAAGCCGATTAGGCAGTTTTCAATCGACTCGGTTCCCCAGAATAAACTTTTTTTTACATTGGAAAAACTGGTGCTCAAGTTTGAGATAATTTCCGGTTTGAGTAGATTTAAAATCAAATCAATCATCTGGGAGAATGTGCTTGTGATTTTGTTTCAACAAAGAAGAACGTTTCCCCCATAAATACTTGTTACTAGAAACAGTTCCAATCATAATTCCATCATTCGTTCCATCTCACAGAGTAGAAGTAAACCCCTGCAGGAAATTGCACTCAGCTTGTATCGTGCTCACTCAGGTCGGTCGATTCCAATGTACGTTAATACTAAATTTATAGGATCATCGTAAATCGTGCTTCCATTTTATATCTATATGGCATACATTTCAAGCAATAGAAAGCTCACCATCAATGAACAGATGCATTTACGATGAGATCAGTAACGAATTTTGCAGCATAAGATACTGTTGAATGGAGAAGAAAAAATGAACAGAGCATAAGACTTATGTATTGCTTTTATAAAAGCTCTACTACTGGCGCTGCATCGCAGTTACTTAGTTAGTTTAGCTGTATTATCGCTGCATCGCAGCTGAAATAAGTATGATAGATGATATTATTAAACTGCTCAGTTCCAGTGGAGCGTATCCTATTCAAAATTGGTGGCTATGATATGCAAATCAATCGATTTATGCTGTAATGGTCTCGAAGAGCACAATTTCTGGTGAAAACCTAAAAAATCAGAATCACAATCAATCAGAAGATTTTATAGTTTGTACAAAGCAACATCATAAAAAAAAAATCCTCGACAATTCTAATGACAGTAAATTTTTCAGAACATTTTTTTAGGTTACACCAGATCTCGACATTTCATTCATATTTAAGGACAAGGTTGATAGAATCCACAAATGGTCGTTGGAATGGCTGATTTGCCTTGAAAAATCTGCCATGATAGCTGCCATATTTATGAATTCTATCATTTTCATCAGTGTTCACTCGGCTGTCGACAGAAGTAGGCCACTCTCGATGTGTGTCACGCGTTCGTCTGTTTACTCGACAGCAACCATTATTGTATGGTCCTCCTCAATGTTCTTCATCAGCAGTTCTTCCGGTCGATGCGTCGTCGACTTTGGAAAGCAACCGTTTCGTGATGAATGTGTGAGTGATGACCCCGTTTTGCGTCCATTGCTGCAATGGAAGCGCTCTGCCTCCCGTTGGCGATACTGCCATACAATGAAACCATTGGAAGCGGGCCCCGTTCTGATGGAGAAGGCTTTTTTTAACCGTGTTGGGTATTTTGATCACTGCGACCAGTACTTAGATCTATTGGATATATTCCCCGTTTCAATATTGCATGTCGTATCACCATTTTATGAAGCGACCGACATAGCCTGGCGGAAAGCATTTTCCCAGTCAGGTATTACATTTCGAATGAATTTCACTACTTGGCTGGGAATTGAATTCCAAATATCAAAGGGTTCTGTCAGCCCCTTATCCAGAAAAATACGCCTCTTATTGAAGATTGCTGTACAAGAGCATAGCAATTGACACATGTCCTCTTGAAGTTTTCCTATTAGCTTCAAGTGCTATTTACATGGACAGTATCCTGTTATTAAACCAGTGTACATACTGAGATCATTCTTTGATAGTTTAAGAATTTTGCTAGTCATTGAAATGCTCGGATAAATTAACCGTTTCGACTGCCTAGCAATGAGAGTGTCTCCACCTTCATTTTTTCCCATTTCTTGAACTCCATTCTAAGAGAGCAAGTAGAAACTCCACAGAATGGTTCTGGTCCTATACATTGTTGAGATAATCCAAGCCTAGCTAGTGTGTAGGCTTTCTCATTCCCTTGAATTCCGCAGTGACCCAAAATAGGTTCCCTTGGTTTTGGCAGACCAATTTTTGGAGTGACATTGCACATTTCCATACAAGTTTAGAATGACATGTTGCTGATTTCAAAGCATTTAGTGCTGCGGCTATCAGACATTTAGCAGATATTAGAATGTCTATAATTTCTACGCAAGCAAATTTTAGAACATTCAAGAATTGCAGGGCCGCTTGGAACATGGTAGGCCAGTAGACACTGAAAAATATATTCCTGGATCTGTTACCCCTGCTCCTACACGATTATCCAATCTAGAGCCGTCTGTATAAAAGACAATTGATCCTGGACGCATGTTTGTTCCTCCATTGTCCCACAAATCGCGATCCGCATCTGCTACATTGTTTTCCTCCATCCAATCTTCATTTTGTATCACAAGAGAATCAATATTGAACATTTTTAGGATGCTCATATGTCCTTTAAGGTCACCTTCAAGGAAGTGCTGTGACCGTCGGATCCTTAATGCACTCCTTTTGGCTGCGAATTGAATAAATTGATGCAACGGAAGCAGATAAAGTAGAGCATCTAGTGTGCCTGATGTGCTGTTTATTGCACCAGTTATTGAGACAGTAGCTAGTCTTTGCAGTCTCCCCAGCTTCTTCTGAGCTGATTTTTCATTGGTTTTAGGCCACCAAACCAATGATGCATAGGTTATTCTGGGTCTTACAATTGTCAAATAAATCCAGTGGATCATTTTAGGTTTTAGTCCCCATTTCCTACCAAAAGTTTGTTTACTTATCCAAAGAGCTTTTGTTGCTTTGCTGATGACTTGCTCTAGATGCGAATTCCAATTTAGTTTGCTGTCAAAAGTAGCTCCAAGTTACTTGACTGTGTTTGAAAAAGTTCAAAAATTATTCCTTTCAGTTTAATTTTATATAAGGGACCTTTTTTTCTTCGTGTACATGGCACAACAGTTGTTTTAGATGGATTAATATTCAATACTTCGCTAGTGCACAACGCTGAAACATAATTTAAAGCAATTTGCATTCTACTTGAAATGACATAGTCAATTTTTCCACGCACTAATATAACTATATCATCTGCGAAGCCAATAATCTCGAAGCCCTGTGCTTCTAAGTTTTTGGGAAAGTCATCAACTAATAAAGACCACAGTAGAGGTGAATGAACACCTCCTTGAGGACAGCCTTTTACACCTCTCACTGTTATGGATGAGCTTCCAAGATTTGCTGAGATTTCTCTTTTGCTAAGCATTTCGTTGATCCAATTAACTATGCTTTTATCGAGCAGCTGCTAGATGCACTTCCACAGTTTTGAGAGCTTTCGATGCCTGTACCATTTTTGCATTCGCATGCAAATATATATTTGTATGGCAAGCACAATCATGCTCTATTGCCCAGGGAAGCCGATAAATTTTCCAACCGAAAAAAATCCTAGACCGAACCGTGAATCGAACCCAGCCACCTCCAGCATGGTCCTGCTTTGTAGCTGTGCCTTTACCGACTGAGCTAAGGGAGGTTCCGATCATGATATTACCCTCAGTTCTTTTGTATTGTCCTGAGTGTCCGGATCTATGCGCATCCATTTTTTGCTGTTCAGAGCTTTTCGATGTTGAAGGCTTACTTGTGCCATAGCTCTGACGTGGGATTTTGGAAGGACGAGGATTACCACTAGTATTTGAACCATTGAGGTCTGAATTCCTAGGGCGTTTTGACCAGTCTGTCGGTTGTTGTGGTGTTTGAGACAAGCAGAATGCTTCTTCTCGGCTGTGCCCACTAGCATTGGGCGATCTTGAGGCAGGAATCGATCTTAGTGAATCGATTAATTTTTTTCTGAAAATAATCGATTCACCGATTTAATCAATCATTTTGAATCGATCTTTTGAATCGATTCATTTTTTAAAATGGCACAAAAATGTTTCAAATATAACGGATCATACGAAAGTTGGTGCAGATTAACGCCAAGTTCAGTCTAAAGTTGATATTACGTTACCTAAGTTATCTTGTTATGACATTTAGGTCCTAAGTAATATTGATCGATTCTCTTCTTTCGTTAATAACTTGGGTATAGAACCGTCTATTGTCATGTTTGTCATATTACAATATAGATAATAGCTTCTTTCAACGATCTGTGAGCTGAAAATAACTGGGAATGTCTTAACATGGCCGTGAGGATGCAACGAGGAACTTGACAAAGAGAAACTGTCAATTTTACTTAGGACCTAATGTAATGTTCAGCTTGATTTCACTTATAATAGTCATTTAGTGTAATGATTGATATCATTTAGAAATAAACTGTGTTGTACGAACGCAGTAAACGTTGTGAGTGTAACATACAAACATGATGAAAATATAGTAAATGACTATTTTGATTTCATTTCATATGTGGAAGTTTTTGGTTAAGATACTTGATGAGCTGAGTGATTTAACAGGTTATAATATTCGTTTTATTGGTATTAAATGAACAATTTAAAAAAATGAAAGATTAACATATGAAACAAAACGATTAGATGGTCGGAGTGTAAAAGCAGGTAAGTACGGAAAGTACTTAATTCAAATATCCCAAAACTCATCCGAGAGGGATCCCAAGAAAACTAATTGAGCCATCGATATCGATTCTGTGTGGTTTCACCAGTTTGAGAGAATAGCCTCTCTGACGAAACACTTGTTACCATTCTTGATAAATATTCTCGAGCAATGGGGATATTTACTACGGATTTTCTCCTATGTTTGAAAAGGATCGACAGACTGTGGGAAAACAGGCGGATGCAAGATATTTTGTCATTCTG